AATGGCATTGTTTTAACTAAAAATAGACAGATCGATTACTTCCCGCAAACGGATATGTACCATGCTTGTGCAGCTACGGACAAAAGGAGTCTGGGTTTAACAATCATTTAAGCTACCAAAACAATATTTTGAGATTTACAATCAATCATTCATTGTTAAAGAGATTGTAATGAGGTTTTCTAAATTTTTGTATGTGTATCAGGGACACAGATAGCATCAATTTACATCATTCTAATTTTCAATCAGACGTCTGTGGTGCCTGTAATTCCACTAAAACTAAGTGTTTTATGACGTCACTATTGCAAAGACCCTTGGATATTATTAGCACCTTTGCAACGTCATGATTATTTTTAGTGGAATTGTAAGAACCACAGACATCGGATTGAAAATTGGACTGGTGTAAATTGAAAATCTCTTTACAATCTCTTTAAATGTGGACAAAAACAGATCTTTTTTACAAAAACAATCTAACAACAATTTTAGACAGAGATATTAGACCTTATTCACGCCTCGGTTTTTGAGACACTGAAACCGAGCCTCATTCTGGATTCATAAGGTCTATAATAAATACTATTTTTAACAATTATTTTTACAACCAGCCTGGATTCATAAGGTCTATAATAAATACTATTTTTATCAATTATTTTTACAACCAGCCTCATTCTGGATTCAACATGGCCGAAGCGTTAATATAATAAATAATTTCTTAAAAAATCATTTTTACAACGAACTAGAAAAATATATTAAGATGGCAAATTTCCAGATTCCAGATCTAATCCTATAAAATATATATAATTCCAGGAATATTAGATAATTGAATGGAATTTAATTGCAGCAAAAACGGCAAAAAACCTTTTTGGAATCCCTTTAAAATAATATTCCCTCCTTTCATCTCGGAATAAACAATGCCGATTTAACATGGCAGCCAATGGATAAGAATCTTACTCAAAAGGTTTACTAATTTACAATTGTCAGACTGGTGATATAAGCAGTGAACTGAGCAAACCTGCTTTAAACAATGTTCTACATAGTGGAAGACCCAAAGGGGCCCTCGTAGCCCCAGAAACAAGTTTTTCGGGCAAAAATCTCATAGCTAGCTTCGAAATTCAGGCCATCTCAAATATTTCACCCCCTTCTCGTAGCCCCTCAAGCAAGTTTTTCAGGCAAAATTCTCATAGCTAGCTTAGAAATTCAGGCCATCTAAAATATTTCGCCCATTCTCGTAGCCCCTCAAGCAAGTTTTTCAGGCAAAAATCTCATAGCTAATGAATTATCATGTATTCTTAATCATATCATTATGTTCTTATTGCATATAATTAAAGATGGGTTTCCTTATTTTTTAGTGTCAAATTAAGCAAACTATTTGATTAATTGGTGTTTTTAATGAATTATCATGTATTCTTAATCATATCATTATGTTCTTATTGCATATAATTAAAGATGGGTTTCCTTATTTTTTAGTGTCAAATTAAGCAAACTATTTGATTAATTGGTGTTTCTAATGAATTATCATCTATTCTTAATCATATCATTATGTTCTTATTGCATATAATTAAAGATGGGTTTCCTTATATTTTAGTGTCAAATTAAGCAAACTATTTGATTAATTGGTGTTTCTAATGAATTATCATGTATTCTTAATCATATCA